ACTTTCATTAGTCCCTAGTCTTATCTAATAGTTAGAATAGCCTTATGCCTATCCCATGCATGCTTAAACTCCTTTACTCTGTTAACCTTTACCACTTCAGCTGGAAGGCTATTCCATGCATCCACTACCCTCTCAGTAAAGTAATACTTCCTGATATTATTTTTAAACCTTTGCCCCTTTAATTTAAGACTATGTCCTCTTGTTGTGGTAGTTTTTCTTCTTTTAAATATAGTCTCCTCCTTTACTGTGTTGATTCCCTTTATATATTTAAATGTTTCTATCATATCCCCCCTGTCTCGTCTTTCCTCCAAGCTATACATGTTAAGATCCTTTAACCTTTCCTAGTAAGTTTTATCCTGCAATCCATGAACCAGTTTAGTAGCCCTTCTCTGAACCCTCTCTAAGGTATCAATATCCTTCTGAAGATACAGTCTCCAGTACTGTGTACAATACTCCAAGTGAGGTCTCACCAGTGTTCTGTATAATGGCATGAGCACTTCCCTCTTTCTACTGCTAATACCTCTCCCAATACAAAAATACAAAAAAAAGGAGCCAAAAATAAATATTAGAAAAGTACTCCTAACATAGGGGTAACCCCAAAGTGACGTTATTGCTACATACGAAAGAGAACACAGAGTACTACGACAATTAATTATACAAAAACATAAATAAGGTGATTGTTAAAGCAGTCTCAAAGAAGAAAAAGAAAACCAAAGAAATAAAAGTTCAAACGTATCGTTTATTAGTTCAATTAAAAAAATATATAATTTACCACGCTTAAGTGTTAAACACCCTAATGAAATGAAGTGTTGTCTAATGTTATAGTGAGACTAAAATAAAAAGCATTTGAAGTAAGCGACAGAAACTAATATAGTGCCACTATACTCAGATTATTACAAAATGCAATAAATATATCCAAGAAGAATATATTGGAGCCCTGCAATGGTAATGGTACTTATATGCTACAGATAGGTATTAGCTTGGTAGCTGATATAGTATTGCAATGATTTACCTCACCCTATTGATGCTGAAAATGCCAATATTGCCACAGATTAGGACAAAATTCCAGATAATATATTGTTTTAAATCATTTTAGGGAAATGTGCTGGGGCATCAACAAGTGAGGCCAAACAAACATTACAAAAGCTAAATCAGGTAACGTTGAAGAGAGTATATGTACTCAAATGTATCAATTGGAGGGAGAAATAGGGGAAGTATTGGCAGTGCAGGGGATGCAATGTGACAATGCATCTAATGGATTAATAGATAGTAGCTAGAAAAGTAAAAAAATACTGAAAATAAAATCGATAATCTAAATGTCCTTACCATGCCTTCAATGACACCCCTTAAACCAAAATGAAAGCACTGGAAAGCGGTCTGAAAATATAATATAATACTCCTCCCCCATATAGCAATCAAAAATGTCACGTTGACCAAGTCAGTTTAGCTCAGACCGAAATAGTACCATACCTATCAAGCAAAATAGAGGGTAGGAAAGTAAAAATGTTAACAAAGAAATAACTGTGTAATGTTAGCAAAAAAGGTCCATGATTGGACCTAGTGGGAAAAGTAACATAATAATATTCCCACAGCTCAGTACATGCTGAACTGTGATGTATTCAGAATCCTGTGATGTGGATCCAGTTCTGATTTCCCATTGGTTAGAAAGTTTAGAGACCCTGCTAGTGGGGAAAAGGTCTAATTCAGGAAAGGTCTATCTTATTAAGAACAAAAGATGTACACTTATATATATATATAACATACTTGTGTCAATAATGCTATTAATTAGCTGGGACCTTGCACGATCATAATTCATAATAATACCATGATGCATCCATTAATGATTAAAGATGAACACTAAGTAACACCTGGTTTCAAAATGTTAAAACTTACCACCAGTCACTATCTGAAAACAATTTACTCTTTGCCTAATGTGGACGTGTAACTTCCTCATTACTGTTACAATAATGGAACACTGATGCCTGTGGGCAGGGGCGTACCTAGAGCATTTGGCACCCGGGGCGGACCCAGAGTGTGCCCCCCCCCCCACACCCCCCATAATAAAAATGTAAGAAAACACCCACAATTTTTTCAATGTTTTCAATAATATTTATTTCACAAATTTGTAAACTGTATATGAACTTGAAAAATAAATTAACTTAGAAATAAATAAAATTTAAATAATTAACATTTACTTAACAGTTAATACGCTTTCTATAAACAAAAAAAACACACAGATCCAAAGTGACCACTCAGTCTATTCGGCAGAGGTAATGTGCAATGATTCACATCCGCTGCCTTCGAGCCTTAATTTCTGCAAATTTATCAATTACTTCATCAAAGCCAATCTTCCTTGCATATTCATGCTCAATTGAAAGTATAGCCAGATTTGTCAACCTTGTCTCACTCATGGTTGAGCGAAAGAATTTTTTATCAATTTTAATTTGGAAAAACTTCTTTCACATGAAGCAATAGACACACAGAGAGTCAAAAAGAATCTTAAACACAGTGACAAATTTGGCAGAGATTCACAATAATCCCATTTAACAATGAACTCCAGGAACTGTAATGCCGTCCATTTCTTTGCTTCTTCAACACTGATCTTGGCAGCGTCCAAATGCCTCCGAAGACGTTCAATTTCCCTAAAGATGTCTTCATTAGAGAATTCGTCAAAAATCTCAGTCAATTTTGGAGTATAATTACGAATATCTTTCTCTGTTGCCACAACCAGAGAGCTTGGCTGAATAACAGCAAACATTGAAAGGATTTTTTCAATTTCCTGAGAACGAATTTCCAACTCGTGATGAAAACGATCAAGGCACTCAAACATAGCCCTTTTCATTTCCTCTGGCAATGTGAGACCAGCGTCCTTTGCCTTCTCTCCTGGCATTGTTTTACGGAGCTTTACTCTCCCTCTTCTTTCCATTGAAATGTCCATTTCTTTACACATAGTAGTTGCATAACAAATTGAAGATTATGCTAGCTTTAGTGTACTAATAATCTTAATTTTAATAAGGACAGGAGGCGAGTATTTTGCATTAACTCTCTTTACTAAACTCCACAGCAGTAAAGAAAACGTAAAGAGTAACAAATAAATCACTGAGCAGCATAGTATATAAGGGTCATGCTGCCTGTACACTTCCTCTTTCTTAAAGCGACATCCAAGTCCAGATAGAGCTCGAACATCCAGAAACTCAATGAAACGGTAACTGCGGTCTCTGGCGAGCGGAACTTAAGGAGACTCCTGGTAACGAGATAGGAGGAGAGACCAAACGAAGCCGTCATCCCATCTTACGGAGTCGTGAGGTTAACGAACCAGCGACCAGTGGAAGTCCTGAAGAGGGTTACACTGAAAGGAGAGTATAAAATCGGTTAGGTACTGAACCGTAACTGTTCACGCCTGTGGGCTTTAACAGAATGGTGTAACTTAAGCAGTACAGACAGATTGTAAGCTGGCCATAGGTTAAATATGTGTAGGTGTAAGTATGTTGTACAACTAAACTGTCCGTCTAGGTGGAAACACTGGGAATAGAGATGGAAGGGATACCGAATATGTGCAGGAGATAGTGGAACCACTAATATGAATCCCAAAATCCATCACCTTAAGATCCACTCCCCCGAGGAGTCAGGGTAGGGAACAAAAGGGAGGGAAAATACTCGCCTCCTGTCCTTATTAAAATTAAGATTATTAGTACACTAAAGCTAGCATAATCTTCAATTTTATAACATGACAGGAGGCTTCCTATTTTGCAATTTTAACGCTGAAGAAGTGACATCCCAGCAGAAGGGGGAGTGCGAAAATAAAATGTACGGAAAGTGGATTCCCTAGACCAGTCCGCCGTTCTGAGAATATCCGAGAGGGACGCCCCTGCCAGGAAGGCTGATGAAGCCGCCGCACCGCGAACGGAGTGGGCGCCGAAGGCGGGGTCTATACCTGCGAGGGAAAGGATCCAGCGGATCCATCGGGCCAAGGTGGTGACCGAGACTGGGGCGTGAGGGCGCACGTAGGAGACTAAGAGTTGGCCCGACGTAGAGGACCGGAGCGAGGAGGTAACCGAAACATACCTGCGGAGGGTGGACACGACGCAAAGCTGCGGGTCGTCGGGAAAAAATGGGTAAAAGACCGAGGTCGAACCCGACTTAGTGCGACGGGAAATGTGAAACGTGACCCCTTCAGGGGCCACTTCGAAAGCGTCCACGTCGAAGGCCCGAACGTCCGAAACCCGTCGGAAAGATACGAGACAGAGGAGGAAAGCGCACTTAGCGGATAGTTGGCGTAGGGAGAGGCGGTCATTCGGAAGCCAATCCCTGAAGAAGCGGAGAACCAGTCCCACATCCCATAGGTGAGGGTATCTGGGGGCCGGGGGACGGCGGAGCCGCATACCGCGGAGTAGACGGCAGACCAGAGGGTCTTTGCCGACCGGGAGATCCCCGACGGGGTGTGAGCCGCCGAAATCGCGGAGCGCACGACGTTGACCGAACGGTAAGAGCGGCCAGATGAAAACAAGGAGGAGAGAAAATTAAGAATCATGGGAATAGGTGCTGTAAAGGGATCGGAGTCCCGTTCCATGCACCAAGTAGACCAGGAGGCCAAGCTGAAAGGTAACAGCGTCTAGTTCCCGGGGCCCATGAGTCCCATAAGAGGTCCCTAGCAGCCTGCGATAGTCCGCTGACTCGCCAGGAACCCCGGAAAGAGACCAAGCCACCAGGGGTAGCCGGTCTTCCAGGAGTAGTGGGTGGAGATGCCCTTTGGGATCCGTGAGTAGGTCCGGGAAGGATGGTAGGAGAAGAGGGTCCCTGTAGGAGGAGGCCAGGAGGTCCGGGAACCATGGTTGGCTCTGCCACAAGGGCGCTATGACAACCAGTTTGATCTGTTGCGTCCGTATCTGGTGTAGTGTTCTCGCAATCATGGAGAATGGGGGAAAAGCGTAGGCTCCTGTCGACGGCCATAGTTGGAGAAATGCGTCTGTCGCCTTGCTCTCCGGGTCCGGGAGCCAGCTGAAGAACTCCGGGGTCTGGTGATTGTTGCGAGAGGCAAACAGATCCAGGTGAAAGGGACCCCTCCGGGCTGCAAGGGCCCTGAAGATTCTCGTGTTTAGCTTCCAGTCGCTGACGTCTCTCCAGTGGCGAGAGAACCAGTCGGCTGTGAGATTGATTTCTCCTGGCAAGTATTCTGCCTGTAGCGTGATGTTGCGAGGGAGGCAATAGTCGAAAATGCCTTTCGTGATATCCGACAGCAGGCGAGAGCGAGCGCCTCCCAGGCGGTTGATGTACTGGACTGCGGATACATTGTCCATGCGCAGGAGGATGCAGCAGTTGGATCTGTCCCGGGCCAAGCTGCGAATCGCGAAGGATCCTGCCAGGAGTTCGAGGCAATTGATGTGCATGGAGAGCTCCTGCGTCGTCCATGTTCCCCCCGTGGAGATGGTTCCGTTGGTGGCACCCCATCCCCACAGGCTGGCGTCTGATTCCAGTACGAAGTCTGGAGCGTCTCCGAATATGGCCCTGCCGTTCCAGGCTTGCATACTGTCCAGCCACCACGATAGTTCCTCGCGAACCTCCATCGTCACCGGGACGGGTTGGTCGTAAGTAGGCTTGCGGCGTAGGTATTTCGCCTTGAGACGTTGCATGGCCCTGTAGTGGAGGGGACCCGGAAATATGGCCTGAATGGAGGCAGAGAGGAGTCCTACAATCCTGGCCAGATTGCGTAGTGGAATGGAGTCGAGACGAAGAACCCTGCGAATCTCCTTGCGAATGGCTGTGATCTTTGAGGCTGGTAGCCTCAGAGTGCAAGTTGTCGAGTCGATCTCGAAGCCGAGGAATTGTATCGTCTGGGTAGGGGTCAGCTCCGATTTCTGTTGGTTTACCACGAAACCCAAAGACTCCAGTAGGGACACTGCCAGGTGAGTGTGTTGGCGTAGTCTGTGTTCGGCGGCGCAGAAGATGAGGAGATCGTCTAAGTAGATGATGCATCGAATGCCCCTTGATCTTAGGTGGGCCACCACTGGTTTTAGGAGTTTGGTGAAGCACCATGGGGCTGAGCTGAGCCCGAAAGGGAGGCAAGTGAATTGCCAAGGGCGTCCGTGCCAGAGGAAACGTAGGAGTGCTCGACAGTCCGGGTGTACCGGGACTGACAGATATGCGTCCTTTAGATCGAGCCTGGTGAACCAGTCGTTGCTTCGAAGAAGGTCTCGCAGGAGGTGGATGCCTTCCATCTTGAAGTGGCGGTAGACCACATATGCGTTGAGGGCGCGTAGATTGATGACGGGGCGGTATTCTCCCGACTTTTTCCGAACCAGGAAGATGTTGCTGAAGTAACCACCCCCGTCGCGGACCGGCTGGATAGCCCCTTTGTCTCGGAGCTCGCGTAGCTCCGCGTTGACGAGGTTGTGGTCGGAGGATGACATGTGGATGGGGGGAGGGGGCTGAACCTGAGAGGGGTTCCCCACTAGGTCTATGATATATCCCTGTACAGTTTGTAGGATCCATGTGTCTGAGCATAGGGCGGCCCAATTCTGGAAAGAAAGGGAAATACGGCCCGCAGTGCGGGTACATGGTAACAGTGGAGGAATGTGGGTCCTTACCTGCAGCAAAGCGGGAACGTCCGCGTCCGCGGGGTCCACGACCTCTGTCCGAGCCTCTGGAAAAGGGTTGTTGCCGGTAGTCCCTTGTCGGGTAAAACGGTGTTGGTTGGGTGCGGGGGCCTGAAGGCCAAAATCGGCTGGCGGCACGGCCCCGTTGCCGGCCAGCCCTTCCAAAAACCCCTCTGGTAGGGTTGCTTCTGAACACTCTGCGCATTGAGGACTGCGCCTTGTTAAGGGAGGTGAACACGTTCACGTGTTTGTTGAGTTCCTTGAGGAACGGTTCGCCAAATAATTTCCCTTGTGCCTGGGGCCCTATCTCCTTTGTGCCAAGGTCTGCCAGTTTGCCGTTAATACGGTACAACGCTGCTTTTCTTCTCTCCGAAGAGAGCGTAACGTTAGTGTTTCCGATGAAACAAAAACACCGTTGTGCCCACTCACGAACATCATGTGCCCATTCCCTGATGTCCTCAGCGGAGAAGGAATCGGCTTTGGTGTAGGCATCATCCGCCAAATACATAATGCGAGCCAGGGGGCCTACAGAATCCAGCAGGTTATCTTGGGCGCCCCATAGGCCTTTCTCCACCCCTCGTCGAGGGTCTCTACCACTGCGCATCATGAAGGTTGACATAACCTTGTCGAATTCCGGGGTCTGCGCGACCTTATCCGGCAGGGAAGGGCGTGGGCATTCTGACCTGAGTCGGCTGCGGACCTCTTTCTCCAGAGGTTTGCGGAGCCACAGGTGCATAAACCTAGAAAGGTGTTCAGGAGGCGACCAGTCACCCGACCTGGGGTGCCGAATGTTGCGAGGGTCGAACATCACTTGGCCTGAGGGGTCCAAGATGGTGTCTGAATCAAGAGGAGGTTCTGCGTCCGCAGTGTCCTCGACACCTCCTGTCTGGGCCGCACCCAGAAGAGTCTCTCGCATGAAAGCGGAGACAGATTTCTCGTCCGAACCCCATGCGTCGTAGTCCGAGTCAGAGGCGTCAGCTTGCCATTCATCCAGCACTGACATGGACTGGGCTTCTTGCTCTTCGTCAGAAGAGTACTCCTGACGCGGGGCCGGGGTGTGTAATTTGGCAGACTTGTGCTTGGCAGGTGCCTTACCCTTAGTTGGTTTGGGTGTGCAATCTTCGCCTTTGTCATGGCGCTTTTTAGGGCGGGAATCCTCCCGTGCCTGGTGGTCGGACAATTCAGATTCCGACTCGTGGCGTGGACGTCTACGTTTAGGTACGTCAGGAGCCGAAGCTCGGGCCTTGGAGAGTGCCTTCTCCACAGAGGCAGCGACAGCTGCGTTAATCATGGCCTGGAAGTCCACAGGGACATTCTGGGAATCTTCCATGGTAGGGTAGGCTATAAATTATTAAAAGGCACAGTAATAAACAGGCACCCAGGTCTTGGTAGTAGGCGTAGGGTCAGATTTGGAAGTATTGTGGGAGCAAGCCCAGAATAACCCCAGCAGGGTATAGTAGTGACCTTATAAACTGGGGCTCACCCAGTTAGAGAGAACTGCAACAGCTAGTCTCCCAGTAAGCAGCGTCTTTATAGTGGGGGCTCACCCCGGTTGCACAGGGTTGGGACCCTTAAGTGCAGGTCACAGTAATAATAAACAGGCAGCAGCACTGACCTGACTGACCCAGCCACAGGATAGCTTGATAGAAGCAGATGAGGCACAGACTGAGTAGCAGGTTGAAAGCAGCAGATGGGGTGCTTGAGTAGGTAATCCTATAGTCACAGATGGTGTTAGACACAAAAGGTGAGGAAAACAGCAGTTTCAGAGGTACCAGCAAGCTAGCACAGCCACACTGAGTCCCTAATGAGATGCACGAGGCAAAACTAAGATGGCCGCGAGAATCTCGCGATGTCCGCGATCCAAAATGGCGGCCGCGAGGTAGGCCGCAAGCCGGGGACTAAATTTTGAGGCCGGCCGCGGATGGAAGCGGGCCGGCGCGAAAACGGCCGTGAATGAAACCGGCCGCAAGGAGGGAGCCCAGGAGGGCACTCCAGGGAAGGGGGGCAGTGGGGGAACCTGGGGGTACCAAGGGGAAGCCAAGGGAGGGTCCCAGGAGGTATAGAGGGGCAAATAGGGGCAGAAAAGACCCACAGAGAGCCCCTAGTCCCACAGCCCTGATGAAGATAGGAAATAGAAATAAAAGGATGTAAACAAGTGTAGAAAATATGTTTGAAATATATATATGGAACAAAAGAAATGACAATAAATGTAGAAAGCTCCAGGGGAGCAAATATTCTGACCTGTCTGCGATGGAGCAGTAAAGAAAGAGGAAGTGTACAGGCAGCATGACCCTTATATACTATGCTGCTCAGTGATTTATTTGTTACTCTTTACGTTTTCTTTACTGCTGTGGAGTTTAGTAAAGAGAGTTAATGCAAAATAGGAAGCCTCCTGTCATGTTATAAAATTACCTTCTCCACAATTTCACTGCGCTGATGTGCTAGAAACGCTTTCAAACCTTGTAGTTTCACAATGCACTTTTCAAGAGTGAGTCCCACAGTTTGCAAATATTTCTGTGTTATATTAACTTCTTCTAGAACGTCACACCAGAAAGAAAGGTAACACAAAAAAGAAAAATCACATATGGCAGACAGCAACATCTGAGCCGATCCTCTTGTGTCCACATTTTCTTTGGGATTACATAACTTTTCAAGGGCTGAAGTCAGTTTTTCAAAATTTGCCCTCACTGGCTTCACAGCATCACAATGAGCGCTCCATCTTGTTTGGGAAAGTCTTTTCACTGTCACACCTACATTTTCCATCAGCAATTCCCAACGATGTGTAGAAACCGAAAAAAATGAATACACTCTCTCAAATGTTCCAAAAAAGGACACACAGGAAACAACACTTCCAAATGAGTGCACCCCACATAGGTTCAGGGAATGGTTAGCACATGGCATAAACAAAGCCTTGGGATTAATCTCTTTTATTTTTGCCTGCACACCACCATGAATCCCTGCCATAGTTGCAGCATTATCATATCCTTGACCACGGCAAAGGCTTATGTCTAGTCCATCTTCCTCCAGATGTTGCAGGATATTTTCTGTGAGTTCAGCAGCAGTCTTTTCAGCAACAGGAAAGAACCCCAAGAATGATTCCTTTACTTCAACATGGTCCCCTTCAATATGAACATATCTGATCACTTCACACATCTGATCAGTGTGGGACACATCAGGGGTGCTGTCAAAAAGAATCCCAAAGTACTTTGCTTTTTTGATATCAGCCACTATTTTGTCCTTCACATGATTTCCCAACAGACAAATTAATTTGTTCTGAATTTTTGGAGAGAAATAGGAAGTCATTCTCTTTCCAGATGCAACAGCATGTTTCAGCCTCATGAAATGTTCCTTTCAAATGGGATCATAGTTTGAGAGCAATTCTACCAATTCGAGGAAGTTGCCTTTGTTTGCGGATGACATGGTCTCTCTATGACCACGAAAGGGAAGATTCTGGTGAGCCAGAAACAAAGTTACAGCCAAAAGGCGATGCAAAATATCCCTCCATTTCCTTTTCTCTCTTTCCACTGTTGTTTGATGGACATGATCAATGCATTTTTGTAGCTTCAATCCTGCTCTCAAGGTCTTCCATTTCTCCAAGCATGTAAGATGCTGCTCAGAAGCCTCATGATCAGACACCTTTGGGTTCAGCTTCCACCACAATTGAAACACAGTAACAAAACTGGATGCCCCTGTTACTTTGTCATCAACAGCAAAAAGTCTGCAGCAAAAACAAAACAAACTTTGTTTTGATGGAGAGTACACCATCCACGTTCTAAGAATTTTTTCGCCATTAGGCAGAGCCTTATAGAACCATGCAGTGGTCAACTGTCGACTCTTCCCTTTTGATTTCTCTCCTTGCCTTTCATCAGGACTGAATGGCCCATCTCTATTTTGGAAAGGTTCACTTCCCCTCTTAATAAGGTCCACTCTTAAAACATCTGGAACTGGAACTGGCCAAGCAGCAACATCAGAATAAACTGACAGTCGAACAGTTTCTCCTCCTTCTCCTTCTCCTTCTCCTTCTCCTCATCATCATCATCAGAGTCTTGCTGATGCCTTCTGCTGGCATCGCCTTCATCTACATCACTTTCACCGCTTGAAGATAAAATGATCTTCTCCAATTCTTGCGCTTTCCCATATGAAGCTTCTTGAGAAGATACTTCAGGCATTTCACCTCTGGATTCAACAGACTGAATGTCTTCAGCGCTTTCTCCTACTGCGGTAGATGTTGAAGGTGCAACATATTTTAAAATTGATCCAGACATCGCCTCAGCTGACTTTTCTTTTGCCTTCTTAATTTTTCGTTGCTGAGACCCGCTTGGTCGATTTCGCTTCATATTGGTGTTTTCTGCAGAAAAATACTAAATTTATTTTGGCTCTAGGGTTCGCTAGTGCGATATCTGTCTTATATTTCCCATCTTGGCATACCATTTGTAAAAGTAGACAACCCAGGGTATTTAAAGGGACACTATAGTCACCCAGACCACTTCAGCTCAATGGTCTGGGTGCCAGCTCCCCCAGATTTTAACCCTCCAGATGCAAAAATCGCATCCAGCTTGCAGAACGTCCATAGGAAGGCATTGAGAAAGGCCACTCGGGAGCTGATGTCGGCGGGGGAGGAGAGTTCACCAGCGCCGAGGGAGCCCGGCACTGGATTACGATAAATGGCTGAAGGGGTTTTAATCCCTTTAAACCCATTCAGCCACTTACCTTTCTCCAGCGTTGGGCTCCCTCGGCGCTGGTGACCTCTCCTCCCCCTGCCGATGGCAGATCCGAATGCACATGCGCGGCAAGAGCCGCGTGCGCATTCAAACTGCCCTTAGGAAAGCATTACTCAGTGCTTTCCTATGGACGTCCAGCGTCTTCTCACAGTGAGTTTTGAGTGAGAATTGCGGAAGCGCCTCTAGTGGCTGTCAGTGAGACAGCCACTAGAGGCTGGATTAACCCTCAGTGAAACATCTCTGAAACTATGTTTTCAGCTGCAGGGTTAAAACTAGAGGGACCTGGCACCCAGACCACTTCATTGAGCCGATCCTTAGAAACAGCATAGAAAAAGAATTTGGGTTCAAAAGATGTAGCGGCTAGGGCAGAGGTTTTGTAGAAGGGGGCCAGGGCAGAAGTTTTGTATAATTGTGCCAGTTTTGTAGAAGGGGGAAGACCAGTGCTTTTGTAGAAAGGGGCAGGTGAGAAACTTCTAGAAAACTCCTGCTCTGCCCCTTTCTACAAAGCCCCTTGTCTCGCCCCTTCTAGAAAACCCCTGCCCTTCGGCCTTCATATAAAAATCCTGCACACTGACAACATAAATTTCATACACTCCCTTCACATAAAAACCCTGCACACCCCCTTAATTTAAAAAAAACAAACAAAAACACTGCACAGCCCCTTAATAAAAAACAGAAACCATGCACAACCCCCTTAATAAAAAACCCTGCACACCCACCTTAATAAAAAACCCTGCACACCCCCTTAATAAAAAAAACAAAAATTTGCACAACCCCCTTTGATAACAAAAAACCTGCACACACTCCTTAAAATCATGCACACCCCCTTATTAAATAAAAAAAACTTGCACAACCCCCTTTAGTAACAAAAACCTGCACACCCCCTTAAAATCCTGCACACCCCCTTAACAAAAATCTGCAGTGCACATCCTCCCTTAATAAATAAAATACTGCAACCCCATTAATTAAAAAAAACCTGCACCCCCCATTAATTAAACCTACCCCCTTAAATAAACCTTCCCGCGCTGCAACTTCCTTTAATTAATCCACACCCCCTTTAATTAATCCACCCCCTTAATCCACAACCCCCTTAATTAATCCACACTCCTAAATTAATCCATACCTCTTAATTAATCCACACTAATTAATCCACACCCCCCTTGATTAATCCACACTCCTTAATTAATCCATACCCCTTAATTAATCCATACCCCTTAATTAATCCACACTAATTCATCCACACACCCTTAATTAATCCACCCCCTTAATTGATACACACACCCTTAATTAATCCACACTAATTAATCCACTCCCCCATAATTAATCCACCCCCCATAATTAATCCACACTAATTAATCCACCCCCATAATTAATCCATCCCCCCTTAATTAATACACCCCATAATTAATCCACCCCCCCTTAATTAATCCACTACCCATAATTAATTCCCCCCTTAATTAATCCACCCCCCATAATTAATACACCCCCCACACAATTATACACTTTACACAATTAATACACCCCATGATTAATATACACCTCCCCATAAAATTAATCCACCCACAATTAATACACACCCCATAATTAATACTCTTTATAATTAATACACACACACACCCCATAATTAATATTCACCCCACAATTAATATTCACCCCATAATTATACACCCCACAATTATACACCCCATGATTAATATACACCCCCCCCATAATTAATCCACTACAATTAATACACACCCCCCCACCAAATTAATATTCACCCCATAATTAATACACCCCCCATAATTAATATACACCCCCATAATTAATCCACCCCACAATTAATACACCCCATAATTAATACTCACCCCATAATTAATACACCCCCATAATTAATATTCACCCCACAATTAATACTCACCCCCCATAATTAATACACACCCCCATGATTAATATACACCCCCCAATAATTAATTCACCTTTTAATTAATTAAATAACATTACATAAATTACATAAACAACACATAAATTACTACTCACGTTTTGATGATGCCTTCCCTCCGAGACCGACCACTGGATCCTTGCGCTGAAGATCCGTGAAGGCGGACT